GAACAAATCAAGAAGCATGTTGTTCTCTCGACTAATTTATGCGAAGAAACTGTTTTAAGTAAACTATGAGGACTCCTGTGATAAAGTAGGAGGTTTTCTTAGAACATTTGTGGAGACATTACTTCACTTTAATAATTTTTAACATTCCATTACTTGTATACATACATTCCTCTTTCAAATTACTCACGTCCACTAAGGAAGCATCTGAGTGGTCGACGTAGATTTGTCAAGGTCTTTATTGGGTAGTTTAGCTTCGATTGGGGGAAAAGTAGATCATTCCAAAGAGACTATTTGAAAGTAAGTATCTGACTTCAGGTAAATGTAGACAAAACAGAGGTGATGAAAATTCCTGGCCAACAGCAACAAACAAAAATCAGCCAGCATGAATGGGAGAAATATGAAAGAAGCAATCTCTTTCACCTACTCACTTACTTGAGGAGCGTCATTTCAACAACCAGCAGACAGAACTGATGGGGATGTGAAAGCAAGGATAGGGAAAGCAAGGTAAGATTTCATTAATTTCAAGTCTGCATAGAGATCGACAGCACTAATCAGCATGAAAAATGAGATCTTATGTGAAATCAGTGCTACTCACTATACGGATCAGATACTGGGTCAGCGCGCCACGTAGGGCAATACCAACAAACCACAAATCTTCTCTAACCGCTGTCTTCGCTCAACACTACTCAAGATCAGATGGCCGGCCAGAAAAGATCATCAACAGAGAGGGATCTCCGGTGATGAACCAACCAACCCATCAGCAATCGATTGTGCAAGAAATTTGTAGGAAGAAATGAAGGTGGACTGGAGGCCATACTCTGAGAAAACAAACCATTAAGTGACATCACACACCAGGCCATCGCTCGAGTGAAACTCGAATAGGAGCGTAATATGGAGGACATCATATGAACAGGAGACGAAAGCGTGTGAACAGATGTGGAGTTGGGTGAAAACGTTGGCAGAGAACCGAAGGCAATGGAGACGTTCGGCTGAAATCCAATGTTCCTCTAAGAACTAAAGGAGACAATAATAATTAAAATCGATAATTTTCAACTATTTCTATTGGTACATAGACAAAATGTTCGTTACTTTTGAAAATAATTACGACTGCAGATTTAGTTGTCATAGGCATATTATGACAAATATCCAGCAGTAATATTCATTCCTGAAATGGAAAACAGATTTCAACTTCCCAATCTTGATTTTTGACCGTAGGAAGCCTATTTCGGAGGGTCAACTGGCAAGTTTCTTCTACTCTGTACCTGTTAAATGAAAAATGAATTAACCTTAAATCCTTTGTCCCTTGCATCCGACACATCTATGACGTTGACTGTCTTGAAAAAGAATTAAATCTTTTGAATGAAATATTCATCCAGACAGGATATCTACCGAGAACCATCGAAAACAGAACTTAACAAAAAAATTTGGAGAGATGGAACGTCATTTCTGCCAAAAACAGAAACTTTACATGAACCTTGATTTCAAGAGAGTTTTAACCTGTGATATTTTTTAAGGCAGAGATTTCATCATTAACAAAGTGTAAAATTAGAGACTGATTGATACCAGACTGTCCTGACGTCCATAAGTAAAAGACTTAAGAAGATGTCATCCTAGAAACAAGTATGATATGATTACAATATAGAAAAATATCCCTATTTAAACATTTAGAAAGCAAAAGGATTGAGCGAATGAACAGTATTTACTTTTTCAATTACACCCTCATCACACCCTGAGTCTACTCCAATATAGTATGTATAGCATCCTTACTACAACATACAACAATTGACCAAACAATTGGCACTGATATGTTTTTTAACAATAATTAGGCAATACCAACAAGTCACTTGAGTGGGGTGATAAGTAACGAAGAAAATTAATGCACACAATTAGAAGGTAGGAATGGTTACAACACGTGGATTTCGTAATGCATAATTTCTGAAAAATGAAGAGTAATTAAAGAGCAAGCGTATGCTCAAGTTGATTGTGTAACAGATTTTCAAAGAAAAATAAAATGATTTGGACACAGGTAACATGTAATCAAAGATGAATTAGTCAGAAAAATGATAAAGTAATTTGGACAATTATAATTTTCCAAAGTTTAGGTGGAGGTGGGGCAAAGTAATCTGGCTTATACACTCATGTAACGATAGCTAAGGTTAGGAAGGTGGCTGTGCAAATTTCTTCTGAACTTACAGGTTTAGCTTCTTTAGGGGCGATTCCTGTGACTTCACCTGTAGGCATGTGGAAGACGAATTCGTAAAGCAAAATTAAGATGGGTAGGAATGTGATAAATAATTTTAAATGTGCTGTATTAACATCAACTTTATGCTCGCTATCTACAAGGTTTGCTAAAACAAAGCTTCGAATATATGTTGTTTGTCCGTTGCTTAACCACTATGCAGGACGATGTTTGGAAATATGGTGATGAACATGCCTCATTGTACGTCCAGCAAAGCTGTCGGCGCAGTTACAGCTCGACTTGTAGATACACATGACGGAGGCGAATTCAGGTAGTTTATCCTTATTTCTTGAACGTTGAACAGGGTGGTAGTGAAGTGTTAACGTACGTCTACTGTATAATAATCTTTTTTAACTGCATTCTTCAGGCACTGTGTTTCTCTTTTGCTGATGCTGTCATCGAGGAACTGCAGTTTTATTAGCAATGGTTTCTTAGGAGCTGTTGCCGTACTAACTCTTCTAGGTGGTGAATTCATAATTTTCTCAGTTAATTTATCGGGATAACCACTTTTACTAAGCAATTCTCTAATAATCTTAAGCTTCTCATTCAGGAAGTCGTTTGAATAGATTAACCTAACTCTATGAACCGAACACTTTACCAGGTTACTTTTATAAATCAAAGGTGAAAAACTCAAAAATGAGTGTACTGACCTGTTGTTGTAGGTTTCCTATATATACTTCTTCTTAGTGTGACATCTTCTTTTCTATGATGATATTAGGTGGTTGGAGGGAATCGGCTACAAGAAGCCTCATCCGACTTGGGTTTCGTGCTAGTTGGCACTCATCAACTATCAAGGTAGGCGTGTCTTCAGCCACCTTGAAGGAACTCATGTCTTTTCTGAGATTCCAACCCGTGTCACTCAGTGACACCTGCAGTCAGGGAGAGATTTTACCACTGAACTATTAGGGCTCACGATGGACCTCTTGTAGAATTGACTGTATTGCACACTTTGATTGCAAACTAGTAACTAGTGTGATGTGCTAGTTCTTTCTTTAGAGCAGACCGAATTCTATTAGAAGGGGCATGAGTTTCTCCAATGTGGCTGCGGATACGTCCTGATGAAGAGTGTCAACTAGCACGGAACGTATGTCCAAGGATTCTTGCCGATTACCTCTAACCATCGGACATCATCAAATCAATGTGTATAGTGATGGCGAACTACCTAGTATCATGGTGGCTACATTGCAAACCTGACTGATGGAATTCAGTCTGCTCCAAAGAAAGGACTAACACATCACACTATCTACTAGTGTCCGACCAAAGTGTCTTATTTTCTTGCCAGGATGAAGTCTAGGCATAAGATACTGTCACTACCTTCTTTCTATGTGCTAAAGTTTATTGCTGATTGCTTATCACTGAAATTCAAGTGTTTGGGATTTGATTGATTACAGGATTTCATCATGAGCTGACATTAGTTAGAGAACCATTGGAAAACCTGGGAGTACTGGGCAGCTGTTTCGTCCTAGTTTGGGACAGCATTCAGCAATAAACTTTAGCACATAGAAAGAAGGTAGTGACAGTATCTTATGCCTAGACTTCATCCTGGCAAGAAAATAAGACACTTTGGTCGGACACTAGTAGATAGTGTGATGTGTTAGTCCTTTCTTTGGAGCAGACTGAATTCCATCAGTCAGGTTTGCAATGTGGCCACCATGATACTAGGTAGTTCGCCATCACTATACACATTGATTTGATGATGATGAAATCCTGTAGCTTATCAATGAACTTGTCAGGGATGTTCATTGCTTCATTCTTGTTTTCATAATCAGAGGTGAATCATCCATCTATCGACAGTAGAATTCCAATTCGTTATTTATTATTCCTTTCATTGATCCATTCTCTGACTTAGCGAGGGAAAAATCAGCTAGGATGGGACCTGATTCGAACCCATAGCCATAACATGGGTTTGTCTGTAATATTCCTTATTGTATAAGAATTCCATATGATTACTGCTTAAATTAATTTATTTTTCTGACTACTTCATCATTAGTTACATGCTATCATTGTCCAAAACATTTTAATTTTTTTAACAATCTGCTACGTGATCAACCTGTGCACACGCCTATTCCTTAATTACTCTTCATTTTCCCAAATTATGCATTATGCAATCCACTTGTTGCAACCATTGCTACCTTTTCATTGTGTGTATTAATTTTCTTTGTTAACTATCACCAGGTCCTCGACATGTTGACACTGACTAATTATTGTTAACAACATATCAGTTCCACGTGATTGATAAATTGTTGTGTATTGCAATAAAAATGCTATATGTATATATTAGAGTGTGTGCGTCGGTGGCACGGCGGTTAGGACGCTCCCCAACCATGCACATGTTCTGGGGTGCGATTCTCGGCCACTAGACGCAGTCTTTACCTCGCTAAGCCAGAAATAAAAGTGGTAAAGAGGAAAGGTTGGGCATGTGGCTAGCAACCCCATCCTGTAAAAATAAACACTGCTACAGAAACTTCAGGCCTCTTATCTGAAGCTCTATATTCCACTGGGAACGTGAAGCATTTAATAATAATTTGTTAGAGTAGAGCCACTGTGAGATGAGGATCTAATTGAGAAGTAAATATTTCTTCATTCGCTAAATCCTTTTGGTTAGATTTTGTCTGATTAATGACCCGGAGAAAATAACACTGTCATAATTGGTGGAAATCACGTATATTTCCAGCTTTTTTATTGGTCAATTTCATTCACAAGAAAAGAAAAAAAATAGAAGTCAATAAACACTGAATGAATTATTTTATGCAATAATCATGGGACAAGATAAAACTGATATGGTAAAAATTCAAAAATGCAAGAATATTTATTTCCCCTTAACCCCTACTGACGCCGAACATTTTATGTATAATTCATATATTTGTTAATTCCTGTAACACAGAAAGCAAATACTTCTATCACTGTGAATGGATACAATGAAACCGCCAGAGATTCCATTGTATGGACGTGTTCTTATCGCATTTGTTGTCAGTGTACTGTGATATTCTCAGCCTTAGGAAATTCTCTTGTTTTATGTGTATTGAACAGACGACGAACACCTTCAAGGATAACACAATGTTGTACAAAACAAATATCTCCATCCCCATCATCAGCACTGTCTTCACCAGGTGGGAGAACTATGACAAAACGTTCCGTTACTTATACATTTTTAGTCAATTTAAGTATCTCTGATTTATTGCATATATTGATTTGTGCACCATTTACATTGATTTCAGATTTTTTATTAATATATTGGCCTTTTGGTGAAACATTTTGTCGTCTAGTGAATTACTTACAAGGTGTTGTTGTATTCTTGTGTGCATTTACACATGTCATCATATCAATTGATCGGCTGACAGCAATTCGATGTCCTATATGGCGTAGACGTAAACTATCTGTACGAAATGCACGAATGATACTTGGTTTTATCTGGTTATGTGCAATGATTATACCAATACCAAGTTTAATTGTTTGTCGTATTGTTGTTGACGAAGACGGTTTATCACATTGTCAAGAATTATGGCCTGAAGGAAATAATATTCAGGCAAATCAATCAAACATAAGTTATTCAAGAAATGATCAACACTTCCCATCGCACATGTCTACACTACATCAAGGCGACTATCAACGATCAGCGCTTGATACAAATCCAATTTCGTTGGAACTGATTTATAATTGTTTAGTTATGCTACTGCAATACATGTTACCTTTGTCAGTTATTATTGTAACTTATTCAGCTATTGTATATCAAGTATGGGTAACAACTGCACCTGGAGAAGGAAATATACAAAGAGATAAAAAAATTCGCGCAAGCAAAAAGAAGGTGAGTATTCTTGTGGCTTGACTAAGTGACTTTTTAGATTTATTTTTAATTTATTACATTTACCTATAAATTGATTCCAGTTTGTTTCATGTAATCATAAAATATCTGGAGCCTATTTTCGATGGAGCCATTGTTTCGTGAACACAAAATTCTATTAGTCAAGTTTTTAATGTATTCAGCATGCTGCTAAGTGGTTGGCTACCAAGGTGCACTGTGAATTGTTGCTATTAGATAGTTGGAGCAATCGGCAGAAAGCCTTGGATCTGGGTTTTGTGCTGATTCACTCCGTACCAAAGATAGGAATAGACACACATTACACTAGTTACTTAGAAGTTTCTTCAAGGTAGTATCAGATACGCCTGCCTGGCTGACTGGTGAGTGCCAACTAGCACCAAACCTAGGTAGGATGAGGCTTCTTGTGGCCGATTGCCTCCAACCATATAATACCAACAATCTGGAGTTTATCTCACTTATTGATTTCTCTAACCTTAAGATAATTCAGTTTTTTTTAATTTATTAAGCTCTTGTAGGAATGTGCTGTTATTCTTAATGTGTCCAAAATCTAGTATTTTCGTCTGACATAATATTTATCGAACATTGTTTCAGCTATCTTCTTATGATGCAACACCAGCATTATTCTTTTTATGTGCTTGTCACCCAGTGTAGTAACTTAATCGGATATTCAATAAACTGGACAGCGATGTAATAAGAGTGAAACAGTATAATTTGCTGGGAGAAAAACACGGAAACTTGCAAAGGTTTTTTATGCTTTACGAATATCATATTAAGTGAGCAGTGAAAGTTTCTAGCGACAGTTATCACCGCCTAATTTGAACAAAAAAAGAATGAATATATATCTGAAGGATAAAACAAACTCATTAAATCTCCTGCACTCCCATGAAGTCCATAAAAAGTAAACATTCTCGAAGCATAAGTTACAAAATTTTTGAATACACATACCGCTCTCACAATGACGATGAGTTACAGATAAAAGGTATCAGCAACACATAATTCCGAAATGATGTATACAGACAGATAGAGTATTCAGTGTTAAGAAGAATAACTACTTATTGTGTCATCAGAAGAAATGAAGGTGGAGTTCATTTTTTGTTTGGAAACAAGCATCGATTAGAGACAAAATACAAGATTGAACAACAGTGTGGATTTATACAAAATATGATGGAGAGTTGGAGAGAGTGGAAGTGAATAATAAAGGGGATTATGACATGGATAAACAATTAGGTGATTTTGGAAACTTGATAATCAAAACACAAGAAAGCCATGGTTACCTCAGTTTGTAGAAGCCGCTGTCATCAAGAGACGTTGATACAGCCTTTGTATACAAAAAGACAGCATGATTATTGATATAAGCATGGAACTTGTGCACTGTGGTAAAGTATAATTTCATAAAGGAGAAAATTTATTTTGATAATTTAAAGCAATTAGTTCCCTTTATGAATTTCGACAACACAATAAGAAGACGTAGTTTATCTGAAACGTGTAATGTATTGGCGCAACACATTTCGGACATTCCGATCGCACACGTAGCTTGTCATACACAGTTTTTATAGAAAGCAAGAAGGCATGAATAATTTCAATACAGGTCAGATAGTGTACGGGTCAAGGTCACAAATAATCGATAGGGAGACGCAAAAGATGTGGTAAGAAAGCAATTAATAGAACGTATTATGCAGCGAAACTTATCTTCATAGAGAAAAACGAGAACTATGCTATCCTGTAAACTCTCACATTATCCGAACGATAGTGTCACATCCTATTGTTTTTCTCAATTTACATGTATGTGTGAAGATACGTCCACAGGGAGGACCCATCAGTCTCTGCATGTTAGGGCTACAGAACACATTCCAAAGTGTCTGCAACAACAAATGAAATCGCCAGATACAATTTACCCCGGAAATAGATGTCCAGCATCATCCATAGCGAAGCATATTATAGAGACGGGTCATAAGGTTGATTTTAGCAATGCATTTAAGCCGATATATAAAACAAGGTTGGATGACATAATAAATTCATTGAAGCCTTAGCCATAAAAAGACTTAAACCTGTCTTATGCGTCCAAAAGTTATTTGTTATCACCTTAAACCTGCCTTGGTAATCCAATTTAAAACCAAAGACCAATTTACTTCATAATATTTTCAAACCCCTTCTTTGCCTTGTTTTTCCTCTCTCTATCTTTCTTACCTACTTCGAAATTCTTCTAGAAAATGGAGACGTTATGCACAGAATAGATTCACTTTTCATGTGTAAAAAGCTAAGTCATGTGGTATACTTCAGATTATTTTTTATATACTAATAAATCCTGTACGAAGAAATATTATGCAATGCTGAATATTTCTGTACTATACGTTCACAAATTCTCTGAAATAAAGCTTTTATGTTAAAAAACTTGTTGAGAGAAAAAATTAGAAACTAATAAGTTGAACCTGCAGTATGTTAGTGTATTCTGGGGTTAACCAGGATTTTCCTGTTATTAGATGTTTGGAGGTAATCGGTGGGAAGCCATCGAGCTAAGTTTCACGTTCGCTGGCAATTCTCATACAAGAGTATCTTCAGTCTTCAAGGATCTCAGGGCCCTTCTGAGACTTAAAGCTAGATAAATTATGAGCTCAAAAATCTCAGTGTTAACGTCTCTGACTGTACCATTGGGTGACCCAAGTTTGAGTCTCAATGAGTACATAAGTTGCTTCAAGATTGCGGATACACCTTCCTGATAAAGGCTTACAAGTACGAAGCTTAGGAGTGAGTACTGGACAAAGAGTACTCTTTTCGATAAATTCATCATCAGGCTTTACAGTTATACATACATTATAGCGAATGAATGAGTTAGTGTTATGAACGACATTAATGTTTAAATAACATCAAATCAATAATATTGATAGTTTACAGCTGAATCGCATCAACATAAAATAAGCTGAATGTCAGAAGAATTAGCAAAGATTCATGAGTTTATAGTTTCTATTAAGGGCCATGGCAGTAGTAGGAGCTGGACTTGCTTCTTTCGAATACAGAGCGCTGGTTGTTTGAGGCGAATCGCAATAGCCTCTCTTGTTTGGAGCCTGCGGTACTACGGTGTTTTTGGCAATTTATTTGGCACCCGGTGGATGATAAAGAAGGATTCATCTACGCTGGCTTTGTGGCCGGTTTGCACAAGATGGTCAAGTATCGAGCCGTTAATAGTTTTCAATACACCTTTACTTAGCCATGCTGGGAGATGTTCTCGAGCACGAAATATCAAGTTCCTAGAGAAATGGCCAATATAACTCGGCCCTCAAGCGCATTTGAATTGGTAGATACAATTTGAAGTGGCTAGTCTAGGTACTTCATCTTTCAGTCGAGGTAGCACCATCAGTTGTGTAGAGAATAATACGTGTAGTTCGCCAGCATTAAAAGTTCTTCGAACTGATTTTCTTAATTTCTTCGAAATAATCGCACTTGTATATCGCCCTTAAATTGCAGTCGTATATAAAGAGGCTTCTTTTTTACTGTTAGTGAGTAGTCCTTTTCAGCTTTCTTTGTTATGTGTTTCCTGATAAATTTATTGGGATAGCCATTTTCGATCAAATTATAATATACAATGCTTAAATCATCTTAAAATACTTCTTCTGAGCATACAGCTCTAACTCTGTGGCTGAGGGTCTTCACTAAATTTCTTTTGTACTTGATAGGAACGAAGCTGTGAAAATGTGTATATTGTCTTGTCCAAGTGCTTTTTCTATGCAAATTTCTTTTTATGCTACCATTTGATTTTCTTGTAAGTAGGACATCCAGGAGGACGATTCTGTCTTGAGATTCCTCTTCGCATGTGAATTCTATAGCCGAATGTACTTCATTGAATTCAGTAATTATTAAAAAATTAATTAAGATAGCTTAAGGTTCAAAGCTTTCTACCGGTCGCCTCCAACCATCTATGTTTTATTACTTTGTACCAGACACTGATGTGTAGAATACTGGCAGTTTCAATTCTTCGGTAGGTGAAAATTTCATTTGAATTTTAGCGAGTAGTTTGATTTAGTTGAAAAAATCTCCGTTTGGTTAACATGGGCGGTAGTGACTCACGCTGAGTAGTCAATGGTCATCAGTTTTCATTTATAAATCCAAATAGTGTACGTATGAGAGCTCATTATTATTGTAAGTTAAATCTTTGAAAAAACTTATGCTCCATTAAGTGTATAAAATAATATCTAGGAGATTAAAAGGCATACATTAAGTTGATTATGAATTAGACCCTCATACAACGACTTACGTTGCCTTTTATTACTTGTGAACTGAACTTTCAGAAGAGATGAACATTAGTGTAAATTGAAATTTACCACATTTCCTGTATTGATAAATGATACCCAAATGGCATACAAAAACTGAAAGATTTATGACTTTATAAAAAGTAACACGTAGCAACTATTTTTTCTCAGGATTAAATTTTTTAGTAATGAATGTTAATTGTGGTCAATCGTGTGTTTGTGATTCGTTTCATTCTCCAGAATTCTTAGTTTAACATATTTAATGCACAACCAATATTCTTAAGCATTAGTTCTATTCCTGTATCACTCACAAGTAGCCTGTGAGCTATATTACACTGTTCAATCACTTTCAAAACTCCGTGACAGTAAACTTCTTAGGACGACGCATTTACAAAGAACAGACTGAAGAGTTAAAAACATATTCACATGAAATCATAATTCATACACATAGTGCGATAACTTATTAAAGAGAAATAAGTCACTATTGTTATTATTATTCCTCTGGGTTCCGAATAGAATATAGGGCTTGATCAACACATCTCCACTTTCTTTTTTCTACTGTCCTCTCCAGTTGGCCAGGTTGAGGATTGCATATAATCTCTCATTTTATTCTTCCGACCCCCCCCCCAAATGACTTCTCCCATGTCACCCTCGCACTGACGATCCAATCATCGTTTGTAACTGTTATTCCACTCGAGTAATGGCCTGCATTGAGCGCGATGTCATTCGACCGATAGCCTC